CACGATCTTAAGGTTGCTGGCTGAGGAATTCTGGGAGTTTAAGTCCACGAGACTTAAAGTTGCCAAGTTTGAAGACGCTTACCTTAACAATCTTCTTTCGGTGTGAGAGTAATGTTAGCTTCCATCCATCGATTGGTTATTTTCGCCTCTTCATTTAACACTTCCAGCATTGTGTTACTAAGGGAATCCTGCAAGATTTTATACAATTCTGTTGGTAGACCATCCGGCCTTGATGCTTTCTCATTATTTTGTCATTTTATTGCTTCTGTTAATGCCATCATTGTGATTTTTTCCTCTAACATTGTTTTAATTTCTTCTGGTAGTTTAAATAATTCTGCTTTTTTCAGGTATTTTTTAATATCTCCTTCTCCAACTTGCTCTTGTTCATATAATTCCCCATAATAGTTTTTGACTATTGTTTTTGTCTTCATTTCTATAGCAAAGGTTTCTTTGATCGTCTATTAGTTGAGGAATCCACTTCTGTTCCTTCTCTTTTTTTCAGTCTATATGCTAACCAACTTCCTGGTTTATTTGCATTTTTTAAAAAAGTTTTGTTTGGATCTTTTTATTTTATTTTAGTTTAAATAAATTTTATTAGTCTTTTGTATATTTTAAAAATAAAACAAAAAATAAATATCATGACGTTAACAGTTTTGTGACACCCATATCCATTTCTATCTTTTGTGCATATTTACAAATATATACAATTTTGTGCAAATATATACATTTAATCTATAAGTTGCTTAACTTTAATTCCTTCAGTTTCTATCTTTCTATTTAATTCGATCCAATTATACCATTTCCCCCAAATTCTATAGTATTCAGATTCCTCTTTCTCCTGTATCATTGACTTTAATTTGTCCATTTCAGCACATGCCGTTAATTTTTAGAATAATCAGTTCATCCGATGGTATGTAGTTGTGCTTCAGCATTGATCATATGCTATTCTAGAAGCCATTAAGATGTGTAATACAATATATTTTATATTTTTTTCCACGTTTCTTTTTGAATATCCCTAGCAGAAATAGTTCTGGTTCCAATTCTACTTATTCCTTAAGAATTTCTTGCAGCCATTGTTTGGTTTTAAGGCAATATTTCTGAGCTTCTGAACAGGACCACCACATATGGTAGAAAGTACCCTCTTTCTTTCTACATTTCCAACATGCCGGATTCATGTTGGATCTTTTTATTTTAACAACCCTAGCAAGAAAGGGTTGTAAAATAGGGGGAAAACTCAACACACTGTCTCGCATAGCAGCAGAAATTTTGGCCTCCCTTGCGGTCCTAAACCAAGGACTTATCTGTACCACTTGGTTTTTTTTTTCTCAGCAAACCGGTTCAGTGGGGGGATGGGTTGGCTGTAAAGGAAGCAGGTATTCTCTTATCCAGCTACCAAGTCGTTGATAAAGCTGATCTTTGAACCTTCCACCTGCTTCTAAAACACCGTACAAAGCCACAACTGGCTCAGAGAGATTTCTGCTATACCGCAAGCCAGACCTGGCATGGGGAGGGGCCTTGGGGCTCCCTGCCAGCCCAAATTCCCCTGCATGGCTGGAGAAGTGAGTCATGTTCCGTGCTTGGCATTCTGCAGCTGCCAACAAAGCCAACACAGTTCTAGGCTGCATAGACAGAGGGATAGAATCAAGATCACAGGAAGTGTTCATACCACTTTATAATGCCTTAGTAAGGCCACACTTGGAATACGGCATCCAGTTTTGGTCGCCACAATGTAAAAAAGATGTTGAGGCTCTAGAACTGTGATGGTGAACCTATGGCACGTGTGCCACAGGTGGCATGCAGAGCCATTTGTGTGGGCAGGTGAGCCCCAGCCAAACTTACCTGTACTGTGCATGCATGCACCTCCCAGCTGATTTTCGGCCCGTTTGAGGCTGTTTTCACCCTCCCAGAGGCTCGAGGGAAACCTCTGCAGCCTCGGGAGGCCAAAAAATGGGCCTTCCGGAAATACCGGAAGTGCTGAAATGGGCCCAATTTTCAGCCTCCAAAGACTGCAGAGGCTTCCCTCAGAGGCCCTCTGGAGGTTGAAAACAGGCACTTCCGGTATTTCTGGAAGATCTGTTTTTCGGCTTGCTGAGGCTGCAGAGGCTTCCCTCAAGCCCCTAGGAAGGCAAAAACAGTCTCCCCCAGACTCCAGAGGCCCTCTGGAGGCTGAAAACGGGCACTTCTGGTATTTCCAGAAGATTCATTTTTCGGCCTACCAAGGCTGCGGAGGCTTCTCTCGATCCTCCGGGCGGGTGAAAACGGCCTCAAACGGGCTGAAAATCCGGGGAGAGGCGTGTACATGCTTAGTGCAGGTAAGGGGGCAGGGTAGAGGTGTTGCACGGGGGTGGTGGGGTGCATTGCATCGTGGGTGCCGGCATGAACACGCGCATCCGGCACACCACAACAAAAAAAGCTCACCATCATTGCTCTAGAAAGAGTGCAGAGAAGAGCAACAAAGAGGATTAGGGGACTAGAGCCTGAAACATGTAAAGAATGGTTGCTGGAACTGCGTATGTCTAGTAAGTTTGATGAAAAGAAAGACTAGGGGTGACATGATAACGCTGTTCCAATATCTCAGGGGCTATCCCAAAGAAGAGGGAGTCAAGCTATTCTCCAAATATGAGCCAGCTGTGTGCAGCAGCTGTCAAGAAAGCCAACACAGTCCTAGGCTGCATTAACAGAGGGATAGAACCAAGATCACATGAAATGTTCATACCACTTTCTAATGCCTTGGAAAGGCCACACTTGGAATACTGCATTCAGTTTTGGTCGCCATGAGGTAAAAAGGATGCTGAGGCTCTAGAAAGAGTGCAGAGAAGAGCAACAAAGAGGATTAGGGGACTGGAGGCTGAAACATATAGAGAACGGTTGCTGGAACTGGGTATGTTTGGTCTAATGAAAAGAAGGAGTAGGGGTGGCATGATAGCAGTGTTCCAATATCTCAGGGGCTGCCCCAAAGAAGAGGGAGTCAATCTCTTTTCCAAAGCGTCTGAGGGCAGGATAAGAAGCAATGGGTGGAAACTAATGAAGGAAAGAAGCAACCTAGAACTAAGGAGACATTTTCCTGACCGTTAGAACAATTAATCACGTGAAACAATTTGCCTCCAGAAGTTATAAATGCTCCAAGACTGGAAGTTTTGAAGACGAGATTGGATAACCATTGGTCTGACATAATATCGGGTGTCCTGCCTAAACAGGGGGTTGGCTAGAAGACCTCCAAGGTCCCTTCCAACTCTCTTATTCTAACAGATCCGATGAGATAGAAAGTCAAGCGAAGCTGTTTTGCCGAAACGCTGAGATCGCCTGCCAAGATTATGGCTTGGTTTTGTTTTCAGGCTGCTGGCAACTACACAGAACCCACTGGCAGCACCCCAGATCTTTCAGCGAAGTTTTTGATCGATTAAACTAAACTTTCTTTCACGACGCTGTAACCCCCTAATTCGGGTTAGAGTCCGGGTGACTGGATGGAGCTAAGCATTTGCTGGTTGGATGCCCTCCCCGACAGCGGGCAGAGTTCACAGCAGCGGTAAGTGCTTTTACTTCTCTACTGTTCTACAAATAACACTTGTTCTTCTTCTCCTCTGCAGACCACCATCATGGCCGTGGAGTTTGATGGCGGAGTCATCCTGGGCTCTGACTCCCGAGTTTCTGCAGGGTAAGAGGCCGAAGGAATATGTGAATCTGGGTGAAGGTGAAGAAAGGTCTAATATATCTTTCCTTGCCCAGAGGGGAAGTGGACGTCTCCTTCAAGTTAACTCTTGGTGATGGGAGGGACAGGCCTACATATTTTTCTTTGAGATAACCAAGAGGTCCTTGGCTCTTGCCTCAATTCCAGGGTGTTTTTTTTTTTTCAACCACCCAATCTAATCCTCCTCTGTGGGATTTCCTAGTGGTCCCCCATCCAAGTACCCTGTTTCTCCGAAAATACGACCTATCCTGAAAGTAAGTCCTAGCTTGGTTTTTACATGTGTGCCCAATATAAGCTCTAATTCCACACACACACACCCAAAATAAGCCTTAATTAAGATCCTGCCCACTCCAGAGTGCACAGGTAAAACTTAAGCTAGGGTGGGGATGGGTGGTGGAGATGACCTACTACTTACCTTTTTTTTTTAGTATCCTAGTATGATTTATGTTATTCGCTTATTTAGTATCCCAAGACTATCATTGGTTTTATTTTTCTTATGATTTATGATGAATGTATTTTGATGATTATGATGCTGATTTATCTATCATTTGTTGTTTGTATGTACACTACAGCTTATACACTGGGGACAAATTCCTTGTGTCACACTTGGTAAAATAAGTGTGAATAGGCAGCAATATAAATTTCCTTAAATAAATAAATAATTCTGTTCTGTTCTGTTCTGTTGTCTCCACTATTCTGTCCTGTTCTATTCGATTCTATTCTATTCTTAATCCTATTGTATTCTCTATTCTATCCTATTCCTTATTCTCTTCTATATTCTTTATTCTATTGTATTCTATATTCTATTCTATTGTTAATTCTATTCTATTCTTAATTCTATTCGATTTTTAATTCTACTCTATATTCTATTCTATTCTTAATTCTATCCTATTCTTAATTCTATTCTTTA